TCGCGCATTCACATCGGCACTTTGGTGCAAAAGCAGTTCCTGGAAAATGCACGATTCAGTCTAAAAAAGTGCTGAACTGCTTCCAAATCAAGTACTGAGGCTCACTAAATAACTTTATCTGTTTGCTTTTCACTGCTTTTCGAAAGCAAATTGCAGTAAAATATTCAGAATTTGAAAAGACAATATAAAAGCTAAGCGGGAAATTTGCATAAATAAAAAACGCTTTGTGTTGTGATTGTGTCTACATAGTTACCGATTACGAACCAGCTGAACATCTGGAATCAACTTCACTATTCTTCCACATTCTCAGTATTAATTTCAGGACCAAAATCTTGGTGGCGCTGTAACTCAAAAAAAAAAAACTTCGTCCGTAAGAATAAACGGGGACTTCGGTAAATTCGGATTTGTGAATTCCTGTACCGACATACCTCCATCGATTTCAAGTTATTATAGAAAGCACAATAATGCAGAGGTGTCCAGGAAGCACTATCCATCTCATTTACTTTCATACCACGAGCCAACAGTCGTCTGCAACGCATTTCTCCCATTTATTCAAAAAAAAGCAAATTTTACGGAAAGACTTGAAATTCGAAAAAGTGAAAATAATTAAATGTTTTCATACAGAATAGTAGTTTTAAGATGGCATTTTTGGCAAAATTTGGAAAAAGTAATGGTTATCAGCAAGGCGAGTAACATACAAAAAGTAATCGGCAACTGCAGAGGGTTAGAAATATATCTGCCAATCCTGGAATGGCTAAGCTCGAGGTTTCAGAAGTGCGTGATAATACCTGATTTCGGCCACATTATTATCGTATGCAGCTTTATGCAAGGGATACTTCTCCGGCCAGCACTCGCCACTTGAACTCGACGAGGACGATGAGCTTTCTCGAAGCGTTGCCCCTTTAGCGAAATACCTGACCTGTATCAGTCGATCTCTGGATGCACTTCAATGGGGAATGTTCTGTTCAAAACACATAGTATAGCAAGAAGACATCGGAGATCTTTTTTACTTATGGTTCTACAAGAAATCAAAATTCATTCAAAAATTTGTTTTTTTTTTCAGTATTCTGTCTTACTTATCAAAATCGAGACCACTGAGATCCTGTGTTAATGATGTTTTGGGTTAGGCTAGCAAGCCGAAGGTAAAGATGCACTCCGATTCATTGAACATATTCATCAAGAGCCTCAAGTGATTAGTTATCGCTAATTAATGACGAAAGAAGTTTTCTTAGCTGAATTCTTCCAAACAAATAATGACGGCAGGTTCCACAAATGTTTGGTACTAGTGAGATAAGTAATAGTACTGAGAAAAACATCCCTGTTTCAGCATGATGTAGCTTTAGGTTAAACAATTTGATAGAATAACCTCACTACTGGCATTGTACTGGAGCCCTGTGCCGAAAAGTGGGTTGATAATGTACATATCATATTTTTCATAACCCATCATTTTCGCTCGAGCATGGTTGCTGCGCCGCACTTCCTCGGCTAAATCGCATGACCTTTTTGAGCTACTCGGATTCTTATCATGCTCTGTTATCCGTCTGAAAAAGCGCCTGATAAAAGCCATGCCCAGGAACGTCTACAGTGGTTTCGTCATTTGAAGTGCTATCAGTTACCCCCTCCCCTCCCTCGCCCACAGTATTTACTCCTTATCAGAAGCTAAAACCTTGAAAGTAGCCCGAGTATCAGTACATGATAATGGTTATCTCCTGCTATGGATGGCTTCATCCTTCAAGATTTGCTTAGTAGCAAACGGATAGTGATTTTGACTCCCCAGCATGTGCCAATATCAATTTAGCATCAAAACGAATGAACGAATCGTAGAGAAACTCTTTTCGTTATGGATGGGTCGGACCATCGATCTTTATCACGAAAATTGAGCTAATTGGTATTACCAACGGCAAGTGTTGCGCAACGCAAACAGCCAAATTTACTTTTCGTAGGGATAATGAACTATCCCCTTTAGCAAGATATTATTTTGCCATTTCGTTAAGATTTTATCGGCTTTCCGACTGATAAACTCGTAAAGATAACCAACACGTAGTTTACCAAATATCACATACAAGTAGCAAAGGGTGGACATGGCACAATGAAAAATATCACCGCTGTCATGCAGAAGGTTGAGAGTTCGACTCCACCAGTGGTATGACCGACTCATTTATTCATTTCGACGGTAAATGGTACAGTCATATACAAGGGAATCCAACTCGTTATCAGCTTGATTCTAAAAACAACCCTCGAAAAAGGAAAACCATCGACGCCCTTGCTAACGGCTAGTTACCATTGTTACTTTCTCACCCAAGCTATTTTTTGACTGCCTGCCCTTTTATAAAAAGTAATTACGAACAAAGTTTTGACTTTTCTCTGCCATGTGAATAGCGCAGCCAAAGAAAGAATAGTTCTTTTTCGTTTAAAAGCAACTAGCTCAAAAACTGATTACACAGGAAAAAACTTGATAACAGGTGACTGCGTATCATTCAAGGAGGGTACAGAGCCATTATCTGAATGAAATGCACATTAAGCATCACCGAAGTATTGTTTTGAAAAGGTAATATCAAATTTTGACTTAAAGCGCGGAAAAATAAGTATTAAAATAATCGCTGGATTTAATACGCGACTGCTTTGCGAACCTTACCTAAGTTACCGACAATAAAGGATATTGTTTTTTGAGTTTCTGCGTGGAGCTGCCTGCTCCCCGAGCTCACATTTTTGTTCATTGCCACTAGGTGAACATGAAATCTATTCACACAAACAAAAAGTTCTGTTTTGAGCAAGGAACGATAAACCTGTAGCACTTTGAGCGGTACTGAGGATCATAGGCTGGATTATGCGCACAAGTACGAACTCTCTGTCGAGCTCCGGAACGAAGGAAAATGCGAGCAAGGAAATCCGGATCCTTCCGTTGATTTTCATTCAGCCAGCTAAAAAGAAATCATTCACCCTTGAATAACAAGGCGCACTTTGTTAGTTACTTCGGATTAACGACAAAAGAATGAAAATTTTTAGACTGCACTAACCTTTCCAGGCAAATGATGCAGTGCCTTGTTTCCACAGAAAAATAGCCAGCGTCGGTCTGGCAATGCTGCGAAGCTAAAGTGAGGTTTTCATACTGGCCAACA